ACGGTGCAAAAACAGAAGAATTGAGGAGATTAAAATGGATGATGTCAGCAGGAAAAAAAAAAATGTGTTAAGCTGAATTTTTACGTGGTTTCAGAGTGAAACGAGAGGTAGTTGGAGGTGAACTCTCAACTTCTTGAGAGTACTATACGCAACCGGAAGTGACCGCGTGCCTGTTGGGTCGTGGAAGACGTATTCGTGGGAGGCACTGAGACCTTACCGCTAGTTGAAATGAGTACTCTCTAAATAACAAGGTGAAACAACTATTTTCCAAAATTAAACTTCACCAAATTCCTTTTTTTAATGGTGATTATTTTTGTTAAATTAGTCCACTATCTACGTGACCTACAACAAAGCTATGACTCTTAACAAAAAAAGTGTGGACTAACGCCAAAAAAAATTATAAAATAATATCGAAAAGGTCTACCAAAAAAAATTATAAAATAATATCGAAAAGGTCTAGATGTTCAACAATTGAATTGGCTCTCTCCTCTGATACCAAATGCGGAACTCAAAGTATTTTGACGAGTCACGGGGCGGGTGAATCTGATTTCATTACTTACTCTCCCAACACTTCCATTTCTCAATAGTCACTATTCCCTCGTCTAGTCGATCTAGCCGATCGGTATCAGTCGCCTAATGAAATTTGTACGTGTCCCAGCGAGAGGATAAATGATATCCCCGTAATCAGCTGTTTATGTTGAAACCGATTTAAAAAAAAATACCAACCGATCGATCAATTTCGATCGATTTTTCATGACTCAGAGTTGGACTTTCATCTCAATGTTTTCATTGAAATGAAATGATGATAATTCTCATGCATTTATTGAACGTTCTCCGCGGAAATGACCCCTGTACGGAAATTAGAGGCAAAGTATATCCAAAAGTTTATGGATATTAATGCCTAGAGATAAGTGTGTATGGAAGGGCTTGAATGTTAGCGGGTTCTCTTACGCGCTTCTAGAGCGACCGTAAATCTAAGATCTGTCGTCGATCTACACGCCAGCAATAAATCCATATACCTCTCCAAAGGCAGAACGAATAAAATTCATTGGAATATTGTGGAAATAATCGTGAAAATCATGACAGAGGTACATAGAAGCCGCCGGGGATATTTTCACCGGCAAAATAATCCTACCAAATTCCCTAAAAAGGCCCATAATTGTCGATCAGGAATTAAAACACATTTCTAATCAATAAAATCGATCAATCACTGAAGGTTAATCAATCAATTGATATCCCTCATCAGAGCAACTTCATTCGCGGTTATTATTTTTGATAGCGAATTCAAATTGTCTGATAGCAGATGCTCGGTTCCAATTGGACGGACAAATTATTTCAGTCATATAATATACAATTATTTACTTGTACTTGTATTTCAGTGATTTATTGGAATCCGGTAATTATTGAAATTTCATCAACAGGATTGAGTGGGCACTGGAACATGCGGTGTTGGTAAACGCTGTGGCTCCACCTCCCAGGGGCATCCACCACGGGAGGAGATCATTTTTGCCGCGTATTTGCAAACTGAATAATAAATACGCGGATACGCGAAGAGCACCGCGTTCCGCCTTCACGCAGTTGACTCCTAGCGCCGATTGGTCGCACTGGCATCGAGGGGACGGCAAATCTACCTTCGCCTCTCTTTCGCCGCGCTCTTTTTCCTCGTCCTGCTGCTGGCTCCTGTTGCTGACTCCTGTTGCCGCTGTACTCCCGTGTAAGCTTGGAAAATAAAAAAAAAATTATTTTTCTCAAGGATTTAAGTATTTTCGTTGAGATAGTGCGTCGCCGGGTGAGGCAGCTCCTGGTGATCCACTCTAGGGGATTATCATGATGATCATAGTGCTCCAGGGGATGGTTATGATCAGTTATGCTGGGGTTTGCTGAAAATTCATAATTACCAGTGGATTTTCTTCAAGGACATACCCACGTCGTCATCCTCTGAAGCGACATGATGGGTATTTATCAGTATGTATTAGGAATTTATCTGAATCGCGGAATGGAAATTTATCTGAATCGCGGAATGGAAATTTATCTGAATTTATCTGAATCGCGGAATGGAAATTTATCTGAATTTATCTGAATCGCGGAATGGGCAGGAGCATATATTTTTTATCAGTGTCCAGCAGCTGCTATCATAATCTGTTTTATGGGTTTGATAACAAGTCAATTAAGGAGGCGCCAAGGATTAATTAAATCGCCGATACTAATCAGCTTAATTTCAAGCTCTTTGAACTTGTGCATTCCCTGGGGTTTGCACGCTATATTTTTTACATCCACTTCTCTCCTAAACGCACCGACGCGTCCACATTTTGTTAGCGTGTACGAAAAATTTTATTTCCCTTTGGAGGAAGACGAAGGGAGAGGTTCTGGTGGTCATATTTTTTCAGTTAATTTCACGCACCTATGAACGCAAATTTCTTTCACTCGAGCTGATCCCGTGAGGTTTCGTACGCTCACAGGTATTTAGGAGGAGCTCAAATGGGGCCACGGTTAAAATATATCGAGTCATCATTCTGGAGATTCAGGATTTAATATTCCGGTGGCCGAAATACGAATTGTACTGTTAGAATTTTTTTGAAATTATCAGTCACGAAATTATTTAAATTTTCAGTTGTCAATTGGAATTTTATTTTGAAAATTTAACATTTAAAATTTAAAATTGACGTTCTCGTGGATGAATATTGATGTTCCAATAAAAAATGCGAATTCGAGAGGAACACAATGATATTTTTTATTAATTGGAAATACTGAGGAGTGATTTCCTGAATGTTCAGCATTTTCAAGGTTTTTAAATGCCGTATGGATCTGAAAATCGCAGTATTATTAAAACCATGGTTATGAAAATCGTTTTTTAATGGATGCAAACATTTTTAATTGCTCCTGCTCGAGAAATTAAATAGAAAACGGGAAACAAACCGAGTGGAAAATTCTTAACGAAGCGTTAAAAACTCAGAGTCAGAAGAGGTGAGAAAATATCCTGAATTTAAACTGTGTAATTAAAAAAACGTGAATTACTTCGGATTGTATTGCACATGTTCAGATAAAATCAATGTAAAATTGAATATATATTCAATGGATAAAATATTTCATCAAATTTCCATCCACTTCAAGTCGATTGAAAATTCGAGAACGCATAAATCCAATTATTCTCAAAACATACATTTATTTCAATATTATCATACATTATTTTCTTTATTACACCGAGAATAAAACGCATGCCTTTGGGGAGGAAAAGTCTTTCCTCGAACCCTTGAGTGAATGTGCAAGAATAGAAGCTGCAGGCCCTGACACACATACTTATACATATGTATATATAAAAAAAAAATACTATTTATTTTTGCGTTACTCAATCTGTCATGTCTTCTGCATTAAACAAATTCCTTCTAATTCTCTCTCCAACTCCAACTTCCTTTTTTTATCGCGAAAATATATTGAAATATTGTCAAATAATATACGCATATATTTTATTGTTTTGTTCAATCTTGTTTGGATTTTGATTGACTTGGAATTTCGTGTGTGGAAGTTTGAGCGATTGCATTGCGATTGAAATATTAAAGAATTAGCAAGTCCCTTAGGATTTTAATTATTCTTCAAACATCACATGAGACTTCCATCCCGGGGATCTAGGAATAGACCCCTGCGGTGATTCACATGGGTCTTTGGCCAATACAAAGTGAGAGAGACGGCCTTTCTCTTCGTGTGCTAATCGATCCGCTTCCTACGCTCGTAATTATGTAATGTTAACGGCGATCTATTCGGCGGTGCATACCCAACTCTATCTACACCAAAATTCAGCTCCAGCGATAATAAATCAAATATTTTTCTCCTTAATCAATAATAACGTGTGCATTCGCGGTGTACGCAAGAATTGATGTTCGTTGTAAATCCCGACTTGAAATCCAGATGATTGATAATTTGTTGATTCCGCGCTGCGATCGGTAAAAAAAACGAGGGAAAATCGATAATTGCGACAATTTATGGCTCATGTTGTATTATTGATTGGCTGCACCAATGAATGAAATAAAAAAATTCGTCAAATACTGCAAGACCCCAATTAACATTTATTTCACAAGAATTTTAAGAATAAATAAAATCAAACAAATTTGTGTATTGGAATTACAGAATTAATAATGGATTTTAGAATTTGAATAAAACAAGTCTGAAGTCATTTTTCATTTTTTTTTTTTGAGATGAAGATCGAATTTATTTGGGGGGAATTCCAAAATATTTTGGTGATCAATAAAAAATCAATGATCTTTGAATAAATTTTTCTAGACGAATGAAAAGTTGATAGGATGTGACGACTTTCAATTAAAATTGAATCAAAAGTCATGCCAGTGAAAATTTTGATGATTGAAATTTTGAGAAATTTCCTAGCGTACTCATAAAGGATATTCGCCAACGTAAATCCCCCTAACATTTCAATACCTCGTCCTACCGCAATAAAACGATCTACCACGCATGCGCGACGAGACCCAGCACAGTTACCTCACGTATAGGTTAGATCTAGGCGCCCTACGTCCTCAGTGGGGCCTGCGCCGGTGCGCCATAGATCCCCGTGTTCTCCTGCGCGTCGCACACGCATTCCACTCGCGCATGCTTCATCATTCCCCGAAACATCAATCAAAAGATCAAATTTATCACCAAAACCCCTCCCCCAATACAAAAATCTAAAACATAAATCATCTAAAAAATAAAAAATAAATAAAACAGTAAACAATAATATAAAAATCTAAAAACAGATCGAATCTGCGCGACAATCAAGTGAAAAAAAAAATGATTATGATAATGCCGTTAATAATAATTAAAAAATATTAAAAATAATAAAAAGAATTGATTGAAAAGTGAGGAATGGGAAATTGAAAAAAAATACTGAGGAATTGAAAGAAAGAGGAGAATTTCCACTCGCCCATCAAAACATTCAGCCTCCCCCCGGAGATATAAGAGATAAGACCGTGAAAGAGGTAGGGGAGTAAAAGAGAAAAGTGGGAGAAGTTCGAGCCGCGAAACGAAATCGGTCGGTATTCGCGGCGCCCGCGGGTCCGCCCACAGTGCGACGCGCACCTTCGTCCTGTCCCCGTCGTTCCACCACGTCGTAACGTCTCGCATTGAAAATCATCACCCTATCAAAGTGACGCACTCCCATCCGCACCAATTTCAATATAAATAATTTCAAGATAATTCAACAGAATCACGATTGTTTATCCCCGTGAAAATCCACCGGTGAATGATTACTCTGTGCTGTGTGAACGATAAGACAAAATATCTCTGAGACCCATCATCAAAAATCGCCAATGTCCCCCTGTGATTTTTCGTACGCCCACTCGTGCGGCTAATCGCCACGTACAAACGTTATATTATGTCACACTCCCACGCGAGCGAAACTGAATGCAACCGCGGGTGTAACGTCGTTTGACATTTTGCCAAATCCCCCCGCCACTCCACCCCATCTCCCACCGACATAAAATTTCGCGATAATTGAAAATAATGTGTGAAAAAGCATTAATCGTTCGTTGTACTCCCCTGGACTGTGATTAATCAGTGATTAATCGGTGATTAATCGGTGATCAATAAGTTTGTGGTAATTGAACTCTTCGGTAATACTGAGTGATAATTGACAAACGAAATGAGTGATCCACCGAGGAATGAATTCAGTGATTTAGGAAACGATTAGAGACATCTTAGTGTTGTGCACTCGATCATTTATCTCTTCTGTTGATTATCGATTAATTAATTAGTTATTGACGATCGATTGGCCAGTGGGACGCGAGATAAGTGCGAAAGGTAATGTTTATTGGGAGTCTGTGGCTCAATTGTTTATGCATAAGTAGATGTGCCAATGATTCATAAAAAAAAATTTATGAAGAATCGAGGCATCGTTAATTTATCGACGACAATGTTGGCCCGAACGTTAAACTCGATAATGAGCTGTAAATCACGCGTGGATTCTATTGTACAAGAGGCGGCTCACCAATGCGTGAGTCATTCCTCCAGTCTCTGCAACACAGGGCTATGCCAATTTTTTATTTCAATTTTTTACTCAATTTTCTCTTGTCCCTCTTATCTTTTTTTTACCTTCATGTTTAGTTACTTTTACGGTGAAAATCGGAGGGAAGGATAATAAGCAAGAAATTCACCGCTGGGTAAATTACGTGGGTGTAGGGAATAGTGAACGAGTACGCTGCATTCTTATCCCTTTTTTTTTTTTCATTTTTTTCAACTCAGATAAATCCTTTAATTAGAGGAAACGAGGATACATTTATTAGATTCGAGGATTTTTTGATACAATTAGTTCTCGGAAATATTCCATTGTCTTCGGAATTCTTCGGTCTTTTCATTCCAGTTGTCGGCGACATTTTTCATTGTTTATTTTGTTTATTTAGGGCTGGCAAATGTTTCGGGCAGGAGTGCATTTTATGCATTGGTGCTGGCTTGTTCTTCATTGTTTATTCAATTTATTATTGATCCCTCTCAATCTGAGGGACATGATGAGATTTTTGTTACAACATTTTAAAATAAATATGACAATAAAAAATGACGAAAATTGTCATTACAGAAATCTCGTTATCTCTTCAATTTTCGCAGGTATTTCCGAAAAATTATCTGAACAATTAAGTCAAGCTCTTATCGCCTCCAGTGAATTTTTCTCGGTGCGCATGAAGTATTAATTTTTAAAGTGGAATGTTACCTCGATTTATTAATTTATTTTTAACTATCAGTTAAAAATCATTACGTTCTTTTCATAAATTTTTATCGTCCATCTTTTTTACCGAAGTAGACAACGCAATAACAATGATGCACGAGAGGATCGATTCACGGATATATAGCTTCTGACTGGCATTCTCCAGTTTGTATCGACGTGCAGTTCGATGTCATTTACAAGGATGGAAGACAGTATAAAAGTGAGGAATGCCAGGTGTCGTGTTGCATTACCAGGAACGAAATAATAAAGAATAAACCATCGCACCAAGCGAATTACGATGCTGATTGTGATGTTTATTTAGCATCGCTCCTTGATTAATTGAAAAAATAATAATTGAGCAACTTGAGAGACTGCCCCGTATCAATAAAACATGATCGAGTTAATTGTGGAAAAAAAGAAAGCAAAACCGCAAAACGTCGGGCCAATGATTGTATCAATTTTTCTCATCAATAATTTAATCAATGAGCGAGTGGGTTATCCGAGAGAAATTCTATTCTCTATAATTTTCTTGAGGATACCGAGGGGATCGATAATCGTTAGTCCAGTAAGAAATGGATCTGGATGTCTAATAAAGCGATATCGATCTTTGAAGATTGATTCTCTGCATTATAGTTGAAAAATTCCACTTTTTTTTTTATCAATTCTGGCCAATTAGGAGATTGATTTTCCGCCAGGGGATTATACGTCGTTCCACCTGGAACTTATTTAGCTGTTTGTGGTGGATACGATCGGGGAATTTTTGAATGGAAAAATTTGTGGGAATGTTGATGGGCATATATGGAATGATTAATATTTTGTTGACAGGTTTTTCGTGAGCCGTCGGTCGCGTCACGACGTATGATCCAGCAAGTGGTGTAAATGCCTGGTGAGATGGATGTTACGCCACGTATAAACGAAGTAGTGACGATATATGGATACCCATGGATGGAATTTGGCCGAAATGTGCCAGCGATACCATCACGCTGTACCTGGAGTCCAAAACTCATCACCGAGTAGGGAACAGGCTGGTGCCGTCGTGCAAGGGCTGTCAACTGTCCCTCACGTCGAACAGCCCAGTCCCTCTTATTCCCATTATACGTGAGTCTTTTTTTTTTATTTTTATTCTGCCATGTGTTTCATTTTTACTTCCGAATAAAAATTTTGTAATCGATTATTTTACCAATTTTCTCATTTTTCCGGTAAATTATGATGATTCATTAAAAATTTATAATTAATTCTCACAAATTTACATTTTTTATTCCATTTTATTCCTGAGAAAATGACGGATTTTTTCCACCCAATTGTTTTATTCATCTGCAACCAAATTTGTTGCAGAAATTTTTGACTACATTTTATCAATGAATTTCACACATTCCGGGGATTAAATAATAACGATACGTTAGGAATTGGGATAAGTATGGGATTCCCCTGTAGATGAACCTTTCATTTAATCCTGTGATTAGCACAGCGATTAGGGGTGAAGGGTTCTTTCCCAGGTAAATTGCCGGGGCGTGACGCCAAGTGTTATTTGGTTAGTGTTATCGTCAATCGTTTCATCGTTGCATCGGCATTTTTTTTTTCAATACTTATTTTTAATGGGATTTTTTTGGAATTACGCCGTTGGGAAATCTTTCTGCATGTGAAATCGTCGCCCGGCCTCCATTATTAACGCGTAAATTCTAAAGTTCAGACTTATTCCCAAGACCGAGATGAATTAATTATTTAAGAACACCATTATAAAAGCGATATATGCAAGATTTAAATTCAAGATGAATTTTGAAAATTGGATATTCATAGGGATTCGGGAATAACGCGTCGGAAAATTTCGGTAGGGCTTCACCACTTCGGGAAAAATTGCCAGGAAATGCCTCCTCATGCGGGATTATGTAAATTGTTTCGTAATTGTTATTAAATATTTTTCACCGTCAGGGGATTCGAATTTCGAGGCGTTTTATTTACCGAAAATCGACACTCCTGTTTCGACGTTAGTTGTGATTATTATGACGTTTACCAGTATATTTTGATTGCAAGGACTTAATTAATCCCGTCGTTTATTAAAAAGTCACACGGTCATTAATTTTTAATTCCATTTCATGTCTGATCGTTGACAGTGTCATCCTCGCCTCGTTAAACCCCAGGCATCCCCGGCCTCAGAGGTGCCACCGGACGACGGCCCTTTTTCTCTTCTCACAAATATTTTCCTCACAAATTAATACGTCAACCTGTTAAAAATCCCCTGTTCGTAATTAACGAGAGTTTTTGTGGTTGTTCAGCAATTTTCCGGGATCAAAAGAAATCTTATAATTTTTCTAGCTGATACCAAAACATTCATAAGTATTTTTAATTTTTTTCTGATGCTTCTTGGAGAAACGGGAATGTCCATTGATTTGTTTATGATTTTCACACGTCACCCTTAAAAATTGTGAGATAGACGGACTCCAATGGAGAATTTTATTGGGATTCATCTGAGAGAGCAAAAACCTCGGTCTCAATCAATTTTTTCCCTTCGCCAGTCATAAAATTTGTTTACCGTGCGAGAATGAACAAGAAGTAACACCTTGGAAGTGCAATTGTTGCATTCTCATGATCTCACTCAATCGTCACTCCATCCCATGTCTTTTTTCTCATGTCACTGAGAGATATTCAATTGATTACGATTCGACTTGACACTTGTTACACGGAGAAAAAAGTTTTGGAAAAATTGTGCGCCAACTCACGTAGGCGGGAGGCAAAATTCTTATTGTCATTATTTTCCCATTAATTCAAGAATAATTATGCGGCGATAAATATTATAAATAATATTTTCTTCCAAGTCGATAAAGGTTACTGACTTGGAAACACGTTTTTTTTTCATCGAAATAATTTCAGTTCTAGAATTTTCACTGAAAATATTTTTCTTCGCAGATCCAACCTTTTTCCGTAAAAAATGCGTTATTTTTTTGTGGTTGGAGACTTGATCATGATCTCACTCGATCATCACAGTTTTCTTCATGTGTTAATGTACGAGAATAACCGACAGCACATGAATGCAATTCGATTTGACAATCGTTATTTGAGAACTTGACCTCCATACAGTGGCATCTCATATTCGCCTACTTTTTTCTTATTCTCATTTTTATTAAAGAACGCGTCATTATTTACATTATATCTGATTATAATTCATTTAAATATCAGCAGATAAACAGACAAATAGGTGAATGATTCAAGGATTGAGAAGAGAAATAATAAAATTGAAGACTTGAACGAAAAGTTCGATTGTACGACACATTCAAATAACGGAACACTTGCCTATTTTATTAGATTTCTCGAATGTTCAGCGACTTATCGCTTTTTTTTATTCCAAACTGAATTTATATACCTTTCTGTGATATTACAGTGTATTCCTAGAATTATCCGCTGTTTATTGCCAGATAATGGGAATAAATCGTGCCCTCAGGCATTTTCGGCCATTTTGCTTTCTGCAATTTAACAAGATATCGGCAATTCATCGATGGATTGTTGATCCAGTGTTTGTTTTTTTTTTCTCACACTTTATCCTTTCGATTCATCTCGACTTTTAAAAGTATTGATGTAAATCATAAAGAAACGAGATGACAAACAGAGCGGGCAGTTAATACTCAAAAATATTCAGCGCTGAAATTTAGAAAGAGATGCTTCCTCGAGACAAAAATCATCGTCATTAAAGCTGTTCCGCTTCGTTCCATAGTATAACCACAGCCGTCGCATGGAACGTCTGTAAGATAGTTCCACGTGTACATCATATATGCACACCTCCATGAAGAAAGAATATTAAAATCATTATCATCGGGTCTAGTCCATCTGTATCACTCGAGAATCCACGAAAATCGTTCGCTTCCGGTTTTGACTTTGGATTTATGGGAATTTATGGTCGGTTTCTTTTTCGTACCCAGGATTGAACAGGGTATGCTAATTATCCCTGAGATTATTCAACATTGAAACATTAAATATTGATTTGTTAATCCGTGTATCGATTGATAATTCCCAGAAGTAAACATTACGTTGTGCTGTTTATAAGGCTTCGAGGAAAGTTTAACGGATGGGACTGAGTATTTTGAAATGGGGTTCTGAGAAGACGAGACGTCGCATTTTATTTCTTGGTATCACTCATGTTTCCTTGGTATTTTCAGAGAATTTGGGGAAATTCAAACTCATAATCCATGATTTCCCATGATTTTGAGGAGTTGCTGCCGATATCCTGGGATTTCACGTTTTTTTCCCGCAATTTTTGGGGAACAGTTCCTCAAAAATTCCTCAAAACCTTGACGAATGTGTAATCCATCAAAAAAATTCGTAAAATAATTTTACCTGTAATTGGTGAATTTTTTTTTCTGAGCATTCCCCAATTTTGATAATTGTCTGTGAAAAAATGACAACACCGTTGTGTAATTTTCTCTGAATTATTTCTCTCCTTAAAAAATCCCTGACACAATTTAAAACAATTCCTGAATGATTTGCATGCTCCAAACATGTGCCTCCCATCAAAATTTTATCGTCATTTCGTTTTCCCGTTGTGTCAAACCGAAAGTACACCCAAAACTTATGCATATTGAATGTGATGTCGTGTCGACCGAGGAATTACCCGACGTCATTGAAAACCCATATGTAAATCCCATAAAGCCAAACTGCTGTAAAGCTTCGATTCCTTTCTTCTCCACGTCCCAATTTTCTTTGAACGCTTCATCATCATTTTTTATTCTCTCTTCACCCTGAATATAAACACCAATACGTTACCCGTAATTTCGCGTGCGGTTTCGCCATGTCTTGAACAAAAAATTTCACCGGAATAGCATTCCACAAACCCGCAAACATCAATTGACATTTATTTACCTTTCACATGGTCCGAATGAATTCAAACGATTTGGCAGGTCAATCCTTTGTACTCCGCGGCATGCGACTATTTCGCGAAATTAAAATTACGCATTGCCCACAATTCGGGTTGCATCCACATGAGATTTTCTAGAAGGAAGGCCATTTACATTTGCATCCTTCATCCAATTGATGATTTTACCTGACAATTTATCGAAGAAATATATAATTCACTCATTAACATTTACTTGACCTAGTCAGGCCGCTCCACAATTTTTCCCCAACTAATAAACTTGCTCTAAAAACATGGAGTTCTCACAAGAAAAAAAATTCAAACGGAAGTAATAAAGTTTCGATGGTAAGAGTTTAACTTCAAGGAAGACTTTTCGGGCGGGAATGATTTCATCTCTCATCGCTCAGCTTTCGTCATAAAAAATCTGATTTATAGAACGATTTGTATCGGAGTTGACAGTTCCTCGCGGATTTGTGAGAAAAAAAAAATTGAAGAGAAGCATAACACGTTACAATTGCAGTAATTTATCCAGAGGCGGTGGAGTACTAACGGCATAGTGCGCACTGTGGATTCCGTAATAAACCGAAAACAATGGGCACGGGTGAGAATTGATACATAACGAAAGGAGTGTTTAACTCGGGATAACGGAAAAATATTCAGATTGAATTGAGGTGTTAGAAGGTTCATGAATTCCCATCGTCCCGAAAGATCTGAACTCATATTGAGTCCCCGAAAAGTATTCAAATGCAGCGCCAAGTATGAGAGATTCTGACGGAAACCATTAATATAATGATCAACCGTATCATTTTCATTGCTCACAATTTCTATCCTCGCACTTTCTGTAATTGTGCAATACAGGGTGGGGCTAAATCATTACAAATGATAAATCTAGGCAGTGGGAGCGAAAATTCTGATACCAAATGGAGAAATGAAATTTTCATGAAAATAGTTCTCTGAAGTTGATGAATCCTTGGGGAATTTCCTTTGCCAGTACATCCTCGAGGAGGAGGGGCATGGTAAATGAAAAAAAAAGATAAAAAAAATGAAAAAGTGGCTGGTGAAACCCATGATATCCCACCGGTTGTCGGCGTTGGAGCGTTAGTAGTGCAGAGGTGAGCGGACGGGGTCGTCACTTCCGCTTACCAACTGAACCGCGTTGGTCATTCGATTTAAAAGTTTAATCAGGGGCCTATAAAATTACAGTTCCTGCAGACGGGCTTTCAATACTCCAGCTATATTCCAAGAGTGTATGCAAAGGGTGTGTACCATACACCACTTATTTGTATACACATTATTAACAATGAAATACATACGCCTCTGCGTACACGCGGTGCGATTTAATGTGCGTCTTGATAGGCTGTCGCATGAAGGAGTTATAAAAAAAAAATAACTTCAACAATTTATTTGGACTTTGATGGTGACAGGATAATTCATTCTTGGAGACACCCCTGTGGCCTCTGTTCTATTGACAATCACCCTTTAATTTGTTGCGGTAGTTGAGCTGTCAATATCATTGACTTGTTTTAGTCGGGAAATATTATTTTAAAATACTTTAGAAAGTCTTTTATTGCTTCCGAGCACGTTTCAATGAATCATACCGAACAATGAAATTGATGAGTTCAAAAAATCTGTATATATTATTCCATGGAGCCGCATGTGCATGTTCGTCACTTATTTGCTTAAGAATTTCTGCAAATTAATTGCATGAATTTAAATGCCTTTCGCTATTTCGCTGACGAATCCCCGGACTTTCGAAAGTCTCAAAAAATTTTTTGAACTCAATCGACGACTTCGATGACTCAAATTGAGATTTTAAGGTCCAATTGAAGTTATCAGAAAGTCTCAGGCTGAAATCTTCAAATAAAATAGACATTTCGTTGAATTGTCTGCATTCAACTGACCTCAACCAATTCAAATATTATTCATGTTATTTTACAATGCAGCAAAACAATACTCTCCCTCTTTGTCGGCCCGTCAAATTGTCAATGCCTGTCCATCAACAACTTCACGAACAATAGCGACCATAGGAAAAGATTCACGAATTGCAACGAAAGAGAAACCGTTCCCATTTCAATCGAGAGATCAGCTGGGTATCAGCCGAGTCAACAGAGACCTCTCAAGTCCGTTCTTTTGTCATCCTAATCCACAATCTCGTCCAGACTATCTGAGACGTGCCACGCGTCGAATCACGACCACAAGATGCCTCAATGAAAACACCAGAAGTCCAACAAGGAGGAACTATAAGAAAACACGAGAACAGAAGTTAAAGAGGAGAGAAGATTGTTTTTAGTCTGAGGCCTGGATTTTATTGAATGAGAATACCAAAACCTTTTTACTCCAATATCAACCTGCCCTCACCAACACAATATCCAAATTAAATTTACAATATTCAAGTGATATTTTGCATGTTTAGCTTGACAGGTGTCTAATTATTGATAATTCACTGGCAATTAACTGTTGACTAATTCTGAATACAACCAAAATAGATCACTTAGATGAATTACTGCGGAGTGAATCAAATTGATTGACTGATTGCATTCTCGGTGAAAGTCAAATCCGCCTACTAGGACATCTCGTTCATTTTATTATCGCATGTTTATTTTATTGTGTGCTAATAAGTGAGATGGATCCACAAAACGAAAGGACTTCTCCTGAATTTTTTGTTGAATTGTTTAATTTGTCTGATCAACTCGTCTGGATGCTGGTCTGATCATGGTAATCATCCCGATGAATTAGAAATTGAAAATAGACAGCTGATGACAGAAGATCATACGTATTCACTGATTTTCCATATAATGGGGTTCGAGACAACCGTGAGAATTCAGCTGCGGTGGCCTTGAATGGTTCATTCATGCCGATTGATTCGTTTTACTTTTGTCAATCCGATTGATAGATCAATCATATTTTTTCCGACGAATTCTGAGGATGATGTCTTTATTTGGTTGCTCATAATGATTTTGGAATTCCGATGTAGAATAAGTTCTGATTTAATTGATACTTAATTTGGGGGATGATTTTCAGGATGTTGGATAATTATGACAGGGCTGAGGTGACAACTCCACCCGTGAGCTATGGAAGTTCTCCGGGTCTTCTGGCTCTTCATTCCTCCTTGTACGGGACACCAACATCCAGAGGTTTCGATATTGATTCGAATATCGATGGAAATGAAAGTGGACTACCCCTTGATGCTCAAATTATTCCAGTGAGTTCGTCATTTATTACGTCATGTTTGGTCCCCGTGACGTGGGGATTGTACGAATCATCGGAATAATAAAATAATTTTAATGGGGAATAATTAAAATATTTTTCTCCAGATACCAGGAATGCTGAACAGTCCTGCACAGCAGAGACTGGAGGACATGTCCTGGCTGGCGTCAGGACCATCACTGGACTATCAGCAGAGTCTCTCATCGATTCCTGGTGGAGTGAAAATGTGTCATCCTGGTAATTCAGCCCAACGAAGCCTCAAGGAACAACGGATCAGACGTCCAATGAATGCCTTCATGGTGTGGGCAAAGGTCGAGCGAAAAAAATTGGCGGATGAAAATCCTGATCTCCACAATGCCGATCTCAGCAAAATGCTTGGTGAGTTTAAAAATCATAATAAATCATATGAATTAATCCTGAAAGACATGAAAAAGTAAACTACTAAGTCGAGAGAAATTGGTATAATTAATGGTGGAAAATTCTTCATTGAAAATAGCAATGTGAGCTTTTCTCCGGAAAATAATCCACTCATTTTTCTTCGATGAAAAAAACATCAGTACAATTGCGTGTTTGATTATCACAGTGAAAAATCTACTGATCCAAGGAAATTCTTTTCGCGTATGGGAATAAGAAAGTTCCGTAGATAATGGAAAACCAACTATCACACCTTCGTGCATTATTAAATTAATTGTCTGATGTACTAGCGGAAATGTTGTATTCTCGGTTTATATATGGAGAAAGGAAGACTTCAGATTGTGGCCGATGGACTGTAGCTTTTAAGGAGATGCTTTCCACGGGTTATCGGGTATAATAGGAAGTAAGTGGCCGTGTAAAACCTGCAATCTAAGCGCGGGGGAAATAAAAAAATTGCGATGAAACCATTCAATGATGAATATCCGTGAAAAAATGAACTGGAGCTTTGAACGACACGATGATCTTCAAAATAATTTATGCGATCATCATGAGCACTGGTTTAATTAATTTTCGTAATTTTATTCGGCGAAAAAAAAATGATTTATCGATATCAACCATTTAATTAATCATTAATTCTAGCGTTATTTTTTTAACGTTTGGTTGAGATCACCTGGAGCAATAAGATTTTTATGAAAATACACAATTCTTTCAAGATAATGAGTTCTTGGCGGAGATTCTTCTTTTTTCCGTACGTGCACTCTATTTCTCGGTAATAGGAATAAATAACTGGAAAATAACTCTAGAATAGCACTTTATCTCGAACCGACAGAGCGTCTGAATTTATCGATTCGACATTAGGCGATCGGCTCGACGTTATTGGCATGACGCGGCCGCGATTGCTATTCACCTCATGTACATCGCCGCCTCCACTTTCTTCCCTTCCTCACCTTTTCTCCTCACTCTATCACTCTCAGGCTTTTTTTCAGTCTCTCTTTTCTTTTCTTCACCCAGACATCCTACATATTCATGCGCGTGCCGTGTGTTTGTCGGTCTGCATGCTAGAGTCTCTCGCCACGCGTCTCACTATTTTTTCCAATTATTTTTTTCATGTAATTGGGTGTCAATTAATTTTTTTTTTCCTCCTCAAGCTGCATTGTTAGGGATCGAGCTAGAGTGGATGGGAGAAAATCAATTTCAGGGGTTTTTGTTGCTCACCTGGTGGGATAATTTCATCGAGCGGTCATTATCATTGAAACTGGTAATTATGGATGACGAGAAAATTTCAAGAATATAGAACAGATATGCACATAAAAAATTTAATTGCAATGAATTATTTTAAAAATTAAATTCTAGATTTTATTGGAAATTCAGAATAATTTGACAGTGAATATTCATATTAAATTAGAAATTCTGGTTAATTACTGAATTCCAATCTGCGACTCTTCAATTCTCATCGCCCAGAATTTCATTGTATTTAGTAATTATTTCCAATTTTTTTTTTTTTTTTTGATAGAATATTCTCTCGTTTTTTCGAGAATATTCCGTGATTTTCCTCTGATCTCGAAGTAGAGAAAAAGTTCTGGATTGAGGTGTTGCCCATTGAAATAGGCTAGATGTGGTATTTTTCCTCGAACTCAAGGTCTCAAGGCTCGAATTCTGGAGACTCTGAGCCTCATATCCGGTGATACACGTGTCCGCGCATCTTTATTAATCACTCATCGACCGTTACCCCCATGATCCTACAATATACTCCATAATATCCATCGCTCTTACGACAACATTGTAAAGTTGTAGAGACCTAATGAGTTGCTGATAATTCCAAGCACATCATCCTGCTCACCAATTGAGAATTAGACTGGAGGAATTCTGGGAATTATTAAATCATTAATCTCACATGCAATGAATGATCTGTTACTGTCATGAATTATTTCACTCACTCTGTTGCACTTTTCGTCTTCATTTTTCAATAAATAAATTAATGAATTTGTGTTTTTAAATCGGAGGACAGATTATTCGATCAAAGAAAGAGAAAACTGCTGTCTAATATTAAAATCATTCGTCATTATTTTGTTATGCAATCAGATCATGATCGAATGAGTCTATTCCGTCGGCATTATCGTCACCGACAGAAGAAATTGTGACGAGTGTGTCATTAATTTATGCAACAACCCAAGGTTAAATTACCGATTCAGAAATAATTAATATTTACTACTCAAATTCAAGTCGTTGGATAATCAAATATTTATTCGATCTAATATTGCTATGTTTAATTGGCATTCGTTCTTGCTTCTTGTTAATACATCAGAGGAATTATGTATTAAATTTTTTAATTCAAACCCCCAGAATTTTTTAATTTAAAAATTTATAAATCATAGATAAACAGCACAAAAATTTAAAAATCATAAATAAACAGCACAAATAACTGGTAAATAGATCGGAAGGTCACGATATTGTAATCAGGTGATTACAATAAAATTTTCAATGACACCCGTGATTTACATGCATCAAATTCAACGAACTCTCGAATAGTTTGAAAATTTCGGGATATTATTGCTTAAATTGGCAGTTTTTCGTGGTAAAATTTCCCGTGGAATTTGACAACGAAAAGTGTATGCCATTTCCGGTGAAAATATATTTTTCCTGATGAAGATAAATCCCCGCTAACCCTGCGTCCAAATGACACCCTAGATCACCCTTATGGATTCCCCCATATCAATTCCAAAGTATTGGTTCTCTGCCCTAAGGATGCAGTTGTCCTGGAAGGCTGTAACGAAGACCAAAGACAAGATCGTCGGGACAATAATTGTGCATTAGATGCAAAACGAGTGTACGCGTACCGAGGGGATATTGGTGAGGGGTCCGGTGAACATGAACGGATAAAAGAAAATATAATGTTAAAAATTGGTGGGGGAATAAAAAAAATATTAAGGAGTAACAACAGAGTCAGAGGACGAGGTTGAAGCCAATAATAAGCCCATAAGCGCGTCTCTGCATAGAATGCCAGGTAATGAGGTGGAGTCTGGCCGGGGCCGCACCCTTATACCTTTACCCAGGCCTCTCTCAGCCCAGCCTAGCTACATCACTACCTTGTATTGCGAAAATTTTAACGTTTATTCAGAGTCAACGTGGAAATTTCAAATTATTGTGGTTGCGCGGAGGGAAATAAACGCGGATGATGCGCGTGCGCCGCCGGCTCGATATGCGCAAATTCCATGGGATTACCCCAACCGAGAATATTAGCACCAGTTTTATTGAAATCTCTGCCCATTCGCCATGCTTTTTTTTTTTACCATCGATTATTCGTTTTTTTTTTAAAACGAAAACGTCTGAATGGTGAGATGGGAGAGGGAATTTATGGCGTTCGGAATTATTAATGGTGGAATATGGGAAGTAATCGATTATATTGATGAAATTGTTGCACTCAATGATGAGGTATGAAGGATGAAGTGAGGATGGTAATATTAAATTTCGTTGTTTCATGAATCGAGATTCAAAATGGAAAAGGAAACAGAAGCCGGGAGATTATGTCGTGGTTGTCAAAGTTTGAGTGGCTCCACGTGGGGTCAGGAATAAAAAAAAAAAAAACAGCGTGAGTGTGGAGAAGATGTGTGTCGGGTTGGATTATGGGTTGTGCTTTGGTTTAGGTTGGCCTAGGGACTGAGATGAGATACATCACGGGACGGGAGACGTATTATTAATGGTGACAGTGGGCGACTCGGTCTGGGCGGGGTGCACCACACAGAATCCAACAGATAGAGATAGACTCCTCTTTATTTATTCCACTCTGCTGCTTTAACATTCACGCGATTATCTTTTCCTGCAACTCCCTCGTATCCATAATGCCGAGAAGGTTAATCGGAAAAATTAATAACTGCTACGCTTTTTTTTTTCACCGACTATTTTGATAAATTGAAGCTGTTGTTTTCAGTCGAGATAACGGGATTTTATCTGTTATTTGGTCAACTTCATTGGTTAACAACATTTTCATAAATTTTATCGATGATAATACGCGCCATTCAGGAACTTGTTCAGTTTTAGATCGAGATTGATCTGATTTATGTTGGTCATCGAAGAAATCTGACACTTGATTCTAGAAGTAGTTTTATTCTGGCCGAACTTGTTTGAACAATATCCGATGAAAGAGAATATGGTGCAGCAATTTTGGCTTAATCAATTCCGTTATTTCTGATCTCCAATGGGAAGGAGATACATACCGAGGATCGGATCGACCTGTAAATCACCTGGGGATATCTCGAAGGTATCGGCAAGAGCTTGGCACGCGGGATTCCACGTACGCAAAAGGCCGATAGCTCTCGCCACCACTGGAATCCTGAAAACGTACCCCATGGATTCTCAAAATGTCATGATCCTGTACTCTTCATTGATGTCAAACCCCTTGAATTCCTTAACTAGAAATTTTCACGTTTTCACCCCAGGGGTTGGTCATTAATAAAAAATGCCCTGCATCCGGAAATCCGAGAAAAACTCTGAATTGATATTCACACTTTCAAAATCAATCAATCAATGGTTGTTGTGGTAATCATTTCTGCGTAATCATAAAATATTTTGTGGTATTTGTGGTTACAATGTTCTGATCAATTAGTCATTAAGCAATCGCGAATTTTTAATGGGAATTTTCGGTGGAAAATGTCAGAGGACTGAGAGGCGAGATAAAGGAGTTGAGTCGGGTGATTGGAAATTCTCCTGGTGAAAGATTTCTCTCAATTTGACCTTCGACTCACCGAACTAGGGGTAAAAGTCATTCGCGTGGAGACTCACTTGAACTATCCGCCGCTTGTAAACGCCTCGGTAGCACCTGACATTTTAGAGAAAAAACGTGACATCGTACATTGCATTGATTCATTGCAATTCGTTGTTCGTTCCTGCAAACGTAAACACTTTAATCTCAGAAAACATTTGAAAAATATTATCTCCGTGGGGTATAAATTAACGAAATTTATCGCTAATGTGGACTTGAGGTTTTGACGATTTGCAATGTTCGTTACTTCGAATAGCGATTGAGCAATTTTTTTATGATTATGTAAAGGAGATTTTTCTCATCGAATACCCGTACGCAATGCACTTTTGGAGAAGGTCTTCCTGGATTTCTTTACATGGCACTATAACATAGTTATGGTAATTTTCATTGTGGATGGGGGAATTTAAGGATTTTCGTCTGGAGAAAGGTTGAAAAATTCGGTGAGAACGGCTATTTAAATTATTCATCGATTTCTTCTTCAGAGAAATCGGAAAAATGGTAGATTGAAATAATCGGGGGATTACCTGGAAGTTAGTAATAAATCGTTCATAGAGTGAAGAAAGTAAAGTGTAATTTCTTGAGTTCTGTAAATTAGTCTCTGCGATGGGATAACCAATACCATAAAAAATATTTAAAAAAAAAATATTTGGTGCGTAGGTCATGACACTGGAGTGTAATTTTCCAGTGCGGCCACGACCTCTCCTCCGTTTAACGCTCCGAAAAGCACAAAAATTGTCACGTAACGGTGATGCATACAGTACATGAGGTACAGAGGTATCTGCGAGTGAAATTGACAGGGAGAGAAAAGCGAAGGAGCGTGGTTCCTTGGACATTAGAATACCTAACGAGGACATCGCGGTGGGACGTAGGTGCGCGGGTGTGACGATGAATCAGTCCGTGTATCTTTCAACTATAGTCTAACGCGCCTTGTAATATCACATCCACTCTACCCACTAAATCCCTCGATACCAACTGATAAAACATCATCAAAATATACCGCCACTAAACAATACAAGGGTACCCTGAATTTCATCCAATTTATCCAATGAAAAAAATTATTTCATCCAATTAAAAAAATTATTTCATCCAATTAAAAAAACAATAAAATTCATCTCTCTAGAAATTTAAGGTGGCAAAAATGGAAATTTATCAGGATTTCGAGTAAGTTCAAGAGTAATATTGTAGGGTACTGTCAGAAAATTTGAGACTGCTGACTAAAAAAAAATTGAATCAGGAAATGACAGTGATGAGCGGTAAATTTTTCTTCCGCGTGTCAACTTTTATTTTATGGCTCATTCATTCTCTCTCCGGGTACTTGTCCCTTTTTTTTTCTACATCCACATATTTTTATTTTTACGGAGAATGAGAAAGATCCGCAGGGCTTCTCTGGAGCATCTTCTCGAGCCTGAAATATACAAAATGAAATATGAAATAATGGCTCGTGGCCGTTGGTACTGGACTTGAAGGCACACGCTGCGGCGCACCCATATCTACGCCCCCATGCCCATGTGCCCATGTGCCACAACGTTTCACATACATTACCTACATATAAATATATAATGTAACGTTCTACACAACATCTTGAACGTTTCTAACAATTTTATTCACTTGGGGAGACGTTTTCCCGATTGAAAGTCCTTTTTTTTTATTCATCTATCTCCACTGTCAATGATTCTTCTCAATCCAAGAGAGAATTGCATTATTATGATTATTATATCCACATGGTATTTTTACGATGTAGATATTTCCAAAAAAAAATTATTATCGGGCGTTTTGCACACGCGGAATAAATTTGTGAAAGTTTATATTCTATTGATGTTTTCTACAAAATTATTGGAATACTTCAACATTCAGTTGCAGGTGAAGAATTAATTTTTCAATGACATTCAACAACTTCACTACTGATTTAATACTTATGAATTATGAATATAGTCTTAGATCTATAGCACGTAAATTCAGATACATCATGAACGTGTGAATGCATAATACAACGCTCTTCATAACATCTTGAAGGTTTCTAACGATTTTATTCCCTTGAAAGACGACACGTTTCCATTTGTTAATGTTGAATGTCGGGTTTTTGTTTTTTCATGCTGGGCACTCATCAAGGAGTCACGGTAAATAAAAAACTCAATTAGCGATTTGATGTAATTAACCAATAGTTAAAGGGTAACAAGTCAACTCGTTCTTCAGTCGAGTTTTCGATGAATATCTTTGAATAGAAGAGAGCTAGCGAAATTTTTCATAAACCCGTTTTTATAGAGTGGAATGAGACCTCGAAAAGTGGTAATTGCAAAAAAATCGCTATCTCTCGTAGTGTCAGAGATATTGCCTTTCATCATTTCAGTTTTCAACATCATTCACTCAAGAATCATTTCGAAGAATTCGTCAATGTTCATAATGTGATTCGATTCAAATCTAGTATTTAAATAGTAAGTGTTTCTTTCATGTTAATGAATGTTTACCAAAAATCATTCTTTTTCCCGTTTTCTCGACTGATTTAATTCTCATGAATAATCAAAATAACGTCCATTAAATCCAGGAAAGAAATGGAGAGGCCTGACCCCCCAAGACCGTCGTCCCTACGTCGAAGAAGCCGAACGTCTCCGAGTAATTCACATGCAGGAGCATCCGAACTACAAATACAGACCGCGTCGTAGAAAACACGCAAAAAGAGCACCAGGTGCACCAGCATCACCACCATCAGCAGTAAATACCCCGGGAACTAGGTCGACACCAGTTGGGGGCACATCAGTGCATCACTCAATGTGAGTTTCTCCCCCCAGCAAAATGCCATCATGAAAAAATTAACATCGAATGACCCTCGGATTAGCATAATGAATATCAATCTCCACGTGGATAATCAAGGGAAAATGTTCGTTTTATTCAATATTTTATTCATGCATTATGTTTAAGGACAAAGATGGACGGATACCAGGGGATTCCCCAGTTGCCCTGGGGCGGACACTCGCCAATTTCCTCGTTGTATCATCAGCAAGGCCAACACGCCATGCAGGACTACAAGTCGGAGAATAATTCATTGTATGGCAGTCCATACACACCAATCATTCACACGCCTGATGCATCACCCATTGCAAGTCCTGAGCCTGATGGTAAATTTATTTTTCCATTTTTTTTTTCAACTGCTTTCGCTCACTCTTATCCAGAGGAAAAATAATTTTGTCTGTGGGAAAATTTCCATCCAGAAGCAAAAACATTCAGACAACTGGAATAATCTCCCCCACAAATCGTAGACAAGACCTTTTCAAAATGATGATAACAATCTCTGATAATCCCTCATTTCACCGCGATTAGCAAGACGCACAGGAATAATTAAGAGATACGTTGAAATGGAATAGCTTCCCATGCAGATTTAATTACCACGTTTAATTAACTCATTAAAGCATAAAATAACCGGTGAAATGTATGACTCCAGGGGACGGGACGCACCTTCCATCCTCGCAGAATCCGGACCCGGAGAGGGAACTTATGGAGGGTACTAAACACAATGAGCTGGTTGAACAGAGCAAACGCTACACCTACATGAACACCGACAGTCAGTTGCATACTGGACATGCCGGAGGCACTACCATATCATCCTGTCAGAATACTCATGGATACACCGACACTCTGACCTATAAGAAATCCGTGAGTCATTCACTCAATTTATGTCAGAATATTTTACCCACAATTGAATTTTCTTCCTATCATGTTCAAAACGTTTCTCCTCCTTCTCATTCCTTTTCTCTTTTTTTTTTGTTCTCTCAACGTGAAATGGCTGGAATGAAATTCTTGATTTTTCATTAGGTAAGTTATTTGAATTTCGAGAGACAAACAACGAGTATAGCTGCTGTTGGGATTGCCAATGGCATGATGGTATCCTGCAACAAGCTGAGATCTGGTTTTGACAATGTTGGCTCTGTCACGGGTACATTTTATCCACCAGTTGCTTCGCCACATGATCAGACCCTCCATTATAGCAGCCCCCAGTCGTCCAAGGGGAGTAATTACTCCATGCAGGGGAGTGTTGAGAGTAATTATAATCATCAGATTAATTGTGGGAGCAGGCAGCAGAGTGTAGGGCTCAGGAATACCAATGATCAATGCTCGAGTGAGTCTCTTGATATTAAATTTTTTATTCTGAGGTGCAGAAAGTATTCATGGAAATAATATATTTCTAGGTGTATCCCATCGTTATCAGTTACATCATCAGGAGTACCAGCCGGAGCCACAACAAAATCAACAGCACGTGTTGAGCCACTTAGATCCCTCAATGACTGAAGATGAGCAGGAACAATCGTTGCAGTTTGAAAAATATTACAAATATACCCATCCAACGAGTATTGCCCACACAACCATGACAACCCAGAGCCTTCTGGACAGCAATCACAATTACGCCAGTGATTTGCGTTATTACACACCTCAGCAGAGCCAGATGGATCTCTCCAGCAGTCAGTGTATCGTCGATGATCAGGGTAAGGATAATCAGTGCTCATCCAACAGTGGACACTCGATTGATCAGTATCATCAGGGCATCGACATGGCTAAGTACCAGGAGCAGCAGGCACATCAGCAACCCCAGCATCCAAATCAGCCCCAGGGAATCGATCAGGTGAAGAGCGATGATGACTTCAGTGTCATACTCGCTGATGTCAGAAAGACCTGTTACAGCAGTTAGTCATATGTCGATAGGAATCTCAAAATTCAAGGAGTGAGAGACAGAATCAAACGGAAATGACTCGAAAATTTTTCAGCGTTTCTCCTCGCGTCTTATCGTCACATCTCCGAGACGAATTTCGCTTCCAGGAAACACAGGTTTCCTTTCTCACAGACTATTTCATGTTCTTCAGGATGACAGAGGAAATTCAGTTCAATGGATATATCGATGTGGTCTAGTTGGGAACGATCGGTGAAAATATCAATGAGGTAAAATTGAATTTTGAAGAAATTACTGGAGGAGACATGGTGGATATTAAGTAAGGAAAATTGAATAGAAAAGTCCTGAAGGGAATTGATAATTTTAATTTCAATTTCAAAATTTCTTGTAATAAAAAAATGGTAATGAGGGAATGGATACACTGGGCCCCGGTGCATTGTCATTTTTATTTTGGCAAGAAATTCTAGGAAAATTTCGCATTTTTGATCTCGTAGTTGACGGTTGTTAACTTCCATTCCATGACATGTCGATAAAGAGAGTGAATTTAATTATTCCAAACGTGTGGTACTCAAGTGAGGGTACTGTTGTATCTTGAATTAGAATTGTATATTTTTGTTTTGTTCGAGATAATACATCAATAATTTTGTTTCTGAGTGAGACGTTATTTATTTTTGAATTGACTAGTGATGTGGATTTTTTTTTATTGGAAATTTTCATTCTTGAGGCATATCGTACTATTTATTTTTTATAGCTATTCTCGACTGTGAAAATTATCCAGCCAATTATTTTTCCTTGATTTAGAAGTTAGTGAATAGATTTGTTCGAATTTTTAGGTATGAAATCGAGTAGAATAGGTTTTATATGATTATTGAGATAAATAAATTGTGTTGGGAGCGTTTTTTTTTTTGTAAATAGAGGATTACTGGAGTGTGTTAACTGTTGAGTCGACGAGTAGATTTGTTCGATGGTATTTAGATGATTTAATCGTCTTTCAGAATGATTTTTTGTTTAATCTTGAGTTTAATCATGATTGTTAAGGATTATTTTATGAGTTTAGGGGTAGGAGTTTTGAGGCAATCTCTCGTTGACGCATTTGAACGGGACATGTAGGCAATTATTAGGTACTTTTACACAATGAATAATCACAGGCATAGTTTCTACAGTGTAACTACAAAAGAAAAATAATGTAATAAATGAACTTGATATTTTCACCAAGAAACTCAGGTGGTTGATGTCATTGGCTTTTCTCTTTATTAAATATTTATAAAAATATGTATATGGGTTAATTATGTCGTGTGTAGAGCAAAAAAGGTCTTATATAGTACATAATTGCTATTGGTTTTTGTGTCATTATGTAGAGACGAGGAATTGATCGAGTTTTTACAATTTGGAGGCATTTCCCCCGGGAAATATCTTTATGCTTTCAGTGTTTGTTTAAATAATTTCTTTTTTTTTGTATTCGTCATGTGTGGACTCAATATCATTGTGTTTTTTTTCAAAGGATTCACTGGTCTCGCAACAATCACATGATTTTTGTTTCTTGTTCGCTGGGAATTAAATATTACAATATCTTTTGGGTAATAAAACTGAAAATTCCATTTGGAATAGTTTAAAAATAGTAGAAATTAAATAAATTCATGTTATCCTTGTAAAATCCCAAATACTCAGCTTTCCATTTAATTTGATGTTTTTCGAGGAATTTTCTTAATATTAACATTTTTTACTGAGTAATAAATTTTTTTTTTTCATTTAAAAAAATTTAACAATAATAAAAAAATAGATAAAAGCACGAAATTCGAATCATGTCGGTAAAATCTCAATTATCATTCACCTGCCCTCATTCTTGAATTATAAAAATTAAAAAATATAATATAGGAACAAAATTTTATAACTGGGAAACATTTGGCAGATATTTCTCCATGAAAATGCTGGTCTGGGTATTGAGGAGAATTACATTTGTCGATTAAAAATTACCAGAGAGCTTCATTACAATAAACTTCACCTGTTATTCCCTAGATTGACTGACATTGATGGGGAATATTATTCATACATTGAAATGCAACTTCATCGGAGGTAATTACATCAATTGAATATATGAAACAATAACAAAAATGCTCTCGCAATTTTTTCAGCATAAATTAATTACCCAGAGTCTGTCATCTGTTCTCCTGCAATCAGTGACCAATGTACAAATTGAATAAATTAACTTATTCCCAATGCAGAATTAATGGAGTGATAATTAGATCCCTGCAATTTACAATTTAATTACAATTATATACAGTTTCTATTTACAGACAGGAGTACATTAATTTTGGTGGGTGTTTCAACTCGTGAATTCTCAAATTCTTAAATTCGTTCGGCAATGTTTAAATATCGACCGTTCCTCGCGTTATTGTCGATGAAATGATTCTCAAGTTTCTCGTAGAGTTGAATTCCAAATTTGATTGTGTTATGTCTCATCTAAATCTATTTGTGGTAAATTTACATATCAAATGGACAGATTTTACAGTCTTTCACAAATGGTTTTCTAATCAAACGACAGAGGAAAACAGTTAGAACATTCATTGGAATCAAGTAGAAATAAAGGCAAGACAAATTGCAAAATACTTTCTTCGCTGTTTACCAAATGATTCATTTTTTCAACACTGAATTGAGTGGGAGTATTGAAATTGACATACAGAAATAGTATATAAAATTTCCTGGCAGGAGAATTTTTTTCCATCGACCAATTGGCAAATTCCATTGAAACAATTATTAATATAATGAATTAAAGTTACAAATTCATGTTAAAAGTCTTGATATGCCTAATTGATTGAACAAAAAAACGTTTTTTTGGGGTAAAGATATGAAAGTTATTGCAAATATATCACGAATTTGTTCATGTGGTGCATAGAGATGCTTAACCGCGTGAGAGAGCATTGAATTATCAAACAGCTCTAACGCGAACGTAAATGTCATTCATCCCACATGCAGTTTTGTTTCATTTTGGAATAGTAAGAAAATATGAAATACTTTTTACATGTCTTTATACCACACCTGTAGGTTGCTGGCAATTTCTTGCCATCACTTTTACCTTTGCAGAATTTTAATCCGCATGGATACCAGCCAATGCATAACTCGAGAGAGCACGAACACGAGACCCATAAATTCGATGTGTCTGCACATTTCGTTATTCCTGGTGATCTCGTTGTATTTGTTCCTTGGGATGGGGATGGTAAAGAGGTGAAATTTCGTACAGCTGCCAGTAGCATTGATTCAGAAGTACCTAGCGACAGTTTTCAATAAAAACAAATTGTTGATAAAAAGCTATTGATTATTCTTTGACAGGATAATTTTTTTCCACTCGTCAGTTGACTAATTTAATTCTCAAATGAACTTCTGTTTTAAAAACCTGATATATTTTCTACAGAATATGACACATTCTGTTGTTGAAATATATTTGTTGACTTATTATTTCAAAATATTGTTCTTTTAAAGTTTAAGGAAATTGGACGGCCCAGTCTCCTCGAGGGAGATATTGCGAAATCAAAAACCTCACGAACGATTCACCGTATCTTAACTCATACATTTTTCTTGATAAATTTTCAAGGAGAATTTTAATGAGTTACCATAAAAAATAATATTCACCTGGTCTCTGAACCCACTGCTTCAGATCTTCTCTCCTCGTGTATGTTGAGTCAGCTGCTTCGGTACACAACGTAGCAATATGCTTGGAAATAATGCTTGACTTTGATACGTCCAAAAATAAATCCATCGTGTAATTCGTGTACCCCCTGTCCTCATCAGCAACTCGAATGGTGCCTGGATTTTTCTGCCTCAATTTGGCCATCGCATCAGACGATATAAAATCCATTTTATAAAAATGATTCACAAAACACATGACTTGGTACTGATTTTGTCCTCGTTCCTCTTCACCAAGGACTAGAGCTTTCATTACTTGAACTTCCTGCAATTTATTTTAACCATAATAACATTTTCATTTCGTTTCAAATTTAAAGTTGAAAAATATTTCCATTATTTTTACTTACATTTCTGAAATCAATCAATTGCGTGACGAGTGTTCCATCGGATCTTTGGAATTCGAGGGTTATCATGTCTTCAGTGACATTTGAAGTGATTGTTTCGAGAAATATATCACCACCCTTAAATTTATAAAGCACAAATGAATAAATTTGATCAATTGCAAAAGAACGGCTGACGAATATTATTGGTAATATTGGTTTTCTGACAGTTCATGGAGGTTATGTGCAGTCGAGTGCAATTGAGATTAAGAGTAATTCGTTGGGCTAATTATATGTAAGTAAACAATGAATTCGACGATCACTCACTTGATTCTTGACGTTTATCAACAAAAGAGTAGTGCGAACACCACCGAGATAATGTAAAATAACACAAACTCCGAGAACTTCGTTGATCTTCATTGTTGCATGTTCTCTTGTCACTCGTTTCACTTCGTTAGGGGTAAAAATTGAGGTCAAAGTACCTCATGAATTCGTAGAGCATCGACCGGGTGAGTAGAAAATAATCAGATAGAAAATTATAATTATATTTACAGAAATTTATCACTACTTGAACGAACAACGGGTTCATGTGATCGAACCCGAACACCGTCCACAGAACCAGTCTAACCAAAGAGGATTGACTGAAGTAGAGGCTCAGTTCTGGGGGTTTGAGTGACCCCAACTGCATCGTAGTACTGCACCCCAAGAGAGGGAGGGCGCAACACGCAATGCTGGGGTGTCCAAGTCGACGGGGTGAATTTTATTTTTTGCACTATGAATGCTTTTTATTTTTTATTTGTTTTACTGAAATTTATTAATTTTTTTTTACTGAAAAAAAACATTCAATATATTGAAGATATACTCCTAATGAAATTATGATTTTATAATGAGCGCGTTGTCTAACGGGCAACGTCCTTAACTGGCACACGGACTGCTAGGGTTCGATCCCTCGCCATCATTCATTTTTTTTTCAATAAAAACAATATTTACTGATTTATAATTTTCATTTTTGTATAATATTTGGAACAATATTTTTTTGATTGTACCATTTTAATAATAGAAAATAATATAGTGTATATTAATATATAATAAATATATAATTATGATCCAACACCGTTTGTTTTTCTTTTTTCAATTTTCGAGATTTTCATTAAGAATATTAGATCATTGCTTTAATCGAAGCTGATGACGCAAGAACGACTGAATGTTAACCGGAATTTACATTGATCCGAATGTTTATCATCGACAGTTACCCTGATAAGTTGCTTACATTAATCATCATCTATAATAAGATTACTACAGATATACATTCCTTAACGGGAATTTGGTGAGCCGGCATGTCCGGATTATTCCATCCGATGAATTATCAATTACCAAATGAAATCCAGTAAGAATATTATAATTGATAAAAATAGTGCTCGTACGGCCATGAGCGCTATTTTTATCCTTCCTGTTTATTATTCGAAATCAACTTTATTCTATAGTTGGATGCGGAAAAAAAATGTTCATCGCCAATAAATCGACAATTTTATGAGGATTAGAAAAACATTTTCTATGTCATCGGGCTGTTGTCATCGGGACTGATGACTCACGCGACAAGTAATAATTGTTCGGAAATTGCCGGGAAGATGTACAGCGCATGCGCCGGTGAATCGCGATTTCGCGATTCTGTTCGAAGGATTACGTTGTCTTCCAACCGACGCAGTACAGCTCAACAACTCGAAGTGTCCACTTGTATCACGAGCCTATTAAAATACGCGACGCCATGGCAGTGTGTAAGTTCACTAATTATCACATACATTTTTCATTCTCATTGCACTTGCGCTACGGATCGTCAATTTAAATTTGAATATCTCGAAAATTAACGCAGTTAAAGAACTAGCCCTTGAGATTTTTCTTCCCGAGTGGAATTCAAGCTACAAGAAAGGCCTCCAAAAGAATTTTTCAATCATAGATCGAGAGATATTCGTAGTTGACTTCATTATTATTTAAATCAACTGATCAAGGTTCACGTTTTTGAATTATTCTAAAATCTTGTTTTCAGTGGACACCATTTTAGGAAAGTAGTGACTGATATTTTTGGATTTCCAATTAGTGATTCTAAATTGGCCCCACGAGGAGAAAAGAATATCAAAGCTCAATGGAAAATGTCGAAAACAGGATTTGTGTTTCTAACTCGTTGGGATTTTCGTGCGTTTCTAAATATAATTCTTGGGCGCGGTTTGATATATCATGCCATATTTTGCCGGTCGGCGATTCAATTCTCGATTTCCATCGGTCAGCAAAATCAAATTCTCTGTCGAGACCTACACAGGAATGTTTCCCCCCAGTCAAGATTATTTGAGAAAGCTTCATTCTCTGTTTATGATCCCTATAAATCTGGCATTCCTCAGTTATATTATCCCACATTATATCGAAATATTCGATTTTAGCGAAAAATTCTAGAATCGCGTCATCACTCACTGGTGTCCTTGGATCGCACTCACACATTCTGTTGCGCAATGAATATTGAGTCGGAATTTCTTCAAACCATTTCCTGCTCAATGACTTCAAGACTAGAATCATTACTAAAAATAATCCTGAGAAACGAGTGACTCCTCCATTACTTAATGCAACAATATTAATTATTCACACAAGAAATTAAATTAATCAGAAATCACTATGTCCAGTGGAATTTTCAAATCCGGAGATAAATGACTAGTTTACCGCTTCACTACAATAACAATAATTAGAATTAAAATATTATTATTATCTCTTATATTATCATTTTTTATGTTTAAAAAAAATTGACAAAAAATGTATGAACTTGAGATGTTGATTTTTTCTTGGGATATTTTTTGAGATAATCATGATCTAGCATCACAGGAATTTGTCCGATTCATCCTGAGCATTTCCTCCTGTACTCATCAAACGAGATATTTTTAATGAGTTAAATCGAAGGCAATCACACTGCAACCGTCGCTATGCGAGGTCACTGACAGGAATCTTTGCCAGAGAGTTAGTCCGTTACTAAAAGAAAAAAAGAAAAAAAAAGTAGACACACCCGTTGCAATCTAGAGTTTCCGTGTGGGAGAAAGGTGCTCTCTGTTACTAGGCAAATTGAAATACAATGGCAGTACACCAGTAATAATCACCTGAAAATCATTCATCCAAAGCTTCTAATCCCCTGAGAGCAGTGAAGCACCTCATGAGGAAGTTCCTACGGTTTGGTTTGATATGAAATTTATGCCCCGATAAACGCAAACAGTAGTTTAACATTTATAGATCAGTTACAATATAATGAATGACAGTGGGACTCTTTGATAGACGACATTTTTAGCCTTCCACTGATTTACCCATTACGTAATCACACGAAATTGTCTCAATTACTCCTAATTTTCACATTGTTATGTTAATTGCGTTGGTGTAATGCGCTCCAGATCTTCGTTGAAGGCTAATCAATCTTTGGAATTTGGGATGACAATTTGCTATTGTCAAGTGTCGTCATTTTGCCCTCGATTTAGATCGCTCCATTTCCAGATGTTTTGGTCATGAATGTTTCATGTTAATGTTGGTTTTCCGTGTTGTAAATACGCGAGGAACAATGGGTGTTTATTTTCTCGTGGTGACTCGAATTTATGAGCTATCACGAAATTATAAACGGTTTTCAATGCGTCAATTAGAAGGGAATTTTATAGGTCATGAAGATATTCAGCGAAAAATTTCAAAAACTCTTCAACTTTTCCCGTTAATGAGCCTATCTGCTGCATATGTGCTATTTCTCATGTCTTTTAGTGTTTCACAAGAACGATCATTTTAAATTCTAATTGCCTTACTACGTCTCTCCTGCGTGTGTGAAAAATATCTCTAGATCTGAGTGACAAATAAAAAAAGATGTGCCAGAAAATGAATAATAAATATAATGTATTAAAAAATTTTCTAATTAATTATTCGAACATCATTTCTTAGATTTTTTTACAGAATTATTATAAATCTAATACTTTCCCATAAAATTCTAAAGAAATAAATTAACTTCATTTTTCTAATGTGAATAAATCTTCTCAAGTTACGAAATAAATTGAGTATCGGTATTGAAGGCCGAATGCCTCAATAGATCCACGATAATACACATATGTTTAGCATCTGTTGGCATTTGAATTACAATTGATGTAACATTCTTCGGATTATGAGACTGGTGACTTTAAAATGCAAAATGACATCACCTCAGTGATGATTTGGGGTGATCCCACAGGTTAAACGTTTAAATCATCCAACAGCCCTTTTATCGATTCAATTGTCATCGCTGTCATGTACTTTGCGAAATGAGTAATCATTCCCTCGGTAATTGCTGTCGTACAGAAGTTCATTTTTTTTTTGGGTCAAACTGGGGCACCAGATAGGGGATTGCATTCTCTCGATTCTATTTTGTTAACGCAGTAAATGTGGTTGTCTTTTAAGGTCAGACGATTGCAAGTGCTGACAAGTAGAATACGTATTTATCGATCTCTGTACTAGTGCAAGTATCCAATCCTGAGCTGACCCACTTCGGACGTTTTATGCTTCCGAGGAAAAATAACTCCGAAGATGATTTTCTCCTTGAACTTTCCGGGAATTTGCTGCTTTTATGACCAGATTGACCTAGTTTCTAACAACTGAAGTTCCGGAAATAATATAGTTTATTGGGAGTAACATTTCACTGGGATCTAGTATATAATCAGATAATATGGACGAATGTAAATGACGTGAGCAATTTTGGAAGTTTCAATAATTTTTCAGTTTTTCGGTATCTATTACTATCATCGCGGAATAAAATTCTTGAAAGTCAATTCAATTGCCAGTCCAATCAGGAAATAGCTAATAATGTTATCTAGGGATTTATTAGCATTCATCTTGCAGCTCTTACGACTGAGGATAAATTGGAGTACAAATTCTATCCGTGCTCCAGCGGTCAAATCCAGTTTCGTGTAAGGGCCCCCAATGATGCCCACATTGCCCTCACCACTGGGCCATATGAGACCGAGTCAATGTATGAGGTAAACTTACCAATATTTCTTCATCATATTTTTCTTAGAAAATTTGAGGAATTATTCCCAGATTATCACTCGTCTCTTCGTGGCCGGTGGATGAAATTTAATGGCAAATTTTTAGGTCTTCGTCGGAGGATGGGGCAACAGCAAGTCTGTCATCCGTAAAAATAGGTCTAAGCCTGATGTGGCGGAGATGGACACTCCCGGAATCTTGAGTGCCGATGAACTTCGTGGATTCTGGATCCGGTAACTGACTTTGAGGAATTGAATAATAAATGATATTTCCATTCAACATTTGTTGAATGAAATAATTACCATTGATAATCTGGATTCCAGATGGCAAGGAGGAAATATAACCGTTGGCAAGGAAGGTGAACAGATGCCGTTCTTGAATTACTACGACTCAGCACCAATCCCTATCAATCATTTTGGCGTCTGCACTGGTTGGGGAGCCTCAGGAGAATGGCTTGTTGAAGGTTTGTACAATTACTATTTCCACAAAATTTTTTATTGAAAATTGCAACGTAATTCAATTACTTCTGCACTTTTTGCGTTCTACCTAGAATAAATGCTAATTTAATATAAATAAACGCTATTTCTTCTTTTTTTTAATCAATTTTCTGGATTCCGCACACAGCGAGATGCATCGGAGGTCACGGTGGTTGTACGTAAAGTATTTAAAAAGTGAATTATTTCGAATTTTCGCACTCACTCATATTTAACCCTTGACAGTCCAGTGTGCTTTAATTATCAAGGATTGATAGACAATTGGACCGTCAAATTGTTAATTTCCTAAATGACGAGTAACGAGATTGCATTGACGATTTAGTTTTTCCGTATGTAGTGCCATTCATCTGGTAAAAACATAATTGTACCCTTCGCCTTATCATTTCCTCGGCGTTATGTGATTTTTTGTTATTGCAGACATTATTAATAATATATGAGTAACCAAGTGTCTCCACAAATGTCGATTTTTACTTCACTTTATCATTTGGTTACTCATATCTAATTCGTTTGTCATCTTTTCGTGTTGATTATAGATTTTTTAATTGAGATCTAACAGAAATGATC